CCTCGGCGCTTGGCACGGAGCCGGATCTTGTTCCGGTGGTGTTCTATCTCTGATTTGTGCCGTAGCGCAGTCTGAATCTGCTCAGGGGTGCAACAGTAGGGGCCGTGAGGCAGCACCCCCCCTCCCACCCAAAGCACACGCTCACTCCCCACATAGCATCTGTTCCAGGCCTGCCTTCAGGACACACTGGCTGCTGGGAGCTGCCCCTTCCCACTCAGGGCACCCCAGCCCGCAGGGCAGACCTGCAAGGCTGTGACCATTCTGAAGCAGGCTGCCAGGCCTGGCTCTCTGGCGCCCTTGGAAGGGTTCGAACCACAAATCTTTAGGTTAGAGGTTGGGCACAAACCATTTAAACTAACAGGAGCCCCTACCAAGAGCTCTGGTGAAGCATTAGGCTGCTAACCACAAGGTTAGTGGTTCAAACCCACCAGCTGCTGCTGGGGAGAAGGATTGAAAGGGTCTGCTCTGCCGTAAAGATTGACAGTCTCAGAGGCCCGATAAAGGGTGAGTGTGAATGAACTTGATGGCAGTGGCTTTGGTTCTGGGGTGTTCTTAGGGACTCTTCAAAGGCAGGCCGGTCCCTGTTAGGCATTAACCATGGCGTCTGCACAGTCAGGAAGCCACTCTGACCAGTTAGGGGCAGGACCCTCCTGAATCCAAGGTTCCCAGGAGCCCGCCAGAGCCAGCATGGCTAGCAGACCCAGCAGGGTCACCTCTGGCGACCCAGTGCAGCCTCTAAGGTGGGAACAATTGTCCCTAGCTCCACCCTGAGCAGGCCAGGCATGGATTCTCACAGAGACAGGTTGAGTACCTCCTTGTTGATCTTGTTGGTCTCTGCCACACGGTCACCCAGCTTGGGGGGCTGGGCAGGGGGGGCCGGGATGGGTTGCATGGCAATCAGCTGGATCTTGCTGGGCACCCGGCGGCCAGGGTCCGCAGCATGGGCAATCCTGTCCACGTGCTCGAAGATGGACGCAGAGGAGTGCTGCTCGGGGGCCAGGCCTGGTGGGGGCGGCCCTGCTCGGGACAAGAAGCAGAGGGAGAGTCATCAACAGAGGGTTGTTCTTGACAGAATCCTCGGGGGGGTGGGGGAGACCCTACAAGGGCACCCCACTGTGGGGACAGAGTACTGAAACCTCACTGGGGAAAAAAAAGCCATTGAGATGACTCCAGTTTAGAGTGACCTGTGTGTCCACAAAGAACTGTGCTTGCAATTTCCCTAGTGATTAAAGTATCTCTGATGAAGCCTCCAGAAGGCTTGTGCAAATGAAGTGGCTCATGGGGCGGGGGGCGCTGTAGATGGGGAGGGCAGCCCCTGCCTGACATACCACCTCTTGAAGTCTGGATGTCAGCGGGGGGCCTGGGCAATGAGCTCCAGGGCCTTCCTCGTCTCCCACATCCTGTGTGTGTGTCCCTACGTCCAGCCCTCTCCTGCCTTCTCTGACTTGTCCTAGAGAAACTCGGGCACAGGGAGCAGTGGCAACCAGCTAGTCAGAAGTAGGGGTGTCGTAGGAGCTCCCCAGCTTGCCAGGAGTCAAAGGAGGAGTGCCTTGTGTGCAGATGGTGTCAGGGGGAATGGCATTGACGCTAAATTGATCTGAACTATCATCACATTTACTGGAGCCCTGGTGGTGTAGGGGGTTATGCACTGGCCTGCTAACCACAAGGTTGGCAGCTTGAAACCACCAGCCTGGGGTGAGAGACATAGGTCTCTACTCCAGTAAAGTGTTACAGTCTCAGAAACCCACAGGGGCAGTTCTACCCTGTACTACTGCTATTGGGGGCTACGAGTCAGAATCAACTCAATGGCAGTGAGTGTGGTTTGGGTTTTCATCACATTTGGTATCAAAAAACCTGAATCTGATACTCTAAAACACTCCTTACCCACCCTCCCAGCCTCTGGTCACCAAGGGTGACCTGTGGTCTCAGAGCGCTTGACCCTCCTGGATACTTCAAAGCACAGAGATTCATACACTACAGGGGGCTCCAGAAAGTTGGCGGGGAAATGAGATTATAAAATCACGTTATCTTTTCACCAGCCTTTCCTTTTTTTTTTTTTAAATCATTTTATTGGGGGCTCATAGAGCTCTTATCACAATCCATACATACATCCATTGTGTAAAGCACATTTGTACATTCATTGCCCTCATCATTCTCAAAACGTTTGCTCTCCACTTAAGCCCCTGGCATCAGCTCCTCTTACCAGCTTTTCAGAAGCTACCTCATATGTGTCTTTTGGAATAGAAAATTCTTCTACTGCACAAGATTTTCAAGATTCACCCACACTGTAGCATGCATCGAGAGGCCACTTCTTTTATGGCTGAACAAGGGCCCACACAATGGGAGACCATGCTGTCTCTATCCATTCCGCAGATGGCAGGCGCTGGGGTTGTCCCCACCTTGCAGAGGCTGAGCCTGCTGCTGCTGCTGCACATGGTGGGCATGGGCCTGCTTGAGTCCCCACTCCCAACGGCTTGGGGCACAGGTAGGCATCGCTTTTAAAGGAAGCCCAAAGCTTTATAACTTCAAAAGTATGTGAGAAATAAGGGAGACAGGAAGGGAACTCAAAGAATTTGTGAGAATATGGAATGCGTGGTAGTCACATTATCTGTTGTCAATTTGAGACTTAAGAGTGGAGGGGTGGAGTTTAGCCTGTCAATCAGGTTTCAGCTTGATGACCTCATTTGGTGACGCTAAGGAAATAAATAGCTTGCTGGAGGTGGGACACACTGACTTCCTGGGGAAGGCATTCCTGTTGACAAGAGACATGGAGCTACGCTAGAGCTCTGGAGCTGAGGAGCCACATGGAGACCCCTGCCAGTGCTGAGATGCTTCTACCGCCACTGGATCCACAAGACTTTCCACCCACTGGCCTGTGATCTTCCTGCATTCAGCATCATGGCACGTGTTTCGTGAGTCTGAAGAGGACTTTGTAGATTGGTATCAAACATATAGGCTAATATTGGACTTATGGGCTTGATCTGGACTGGACTGGGATGTTTTCTCAATACTCAATTGCTCTTGTAAATAAAGCTCTTTCTTATATACATATGAGTGTCTGGATTTGTTTCTCTAGTCCACCCATACGAGCACAAAAGGCATGAATTTTTTTTAAGCCCCCCTCATTATATAAAGGGTTCTCCTCAGAGTAAAAAATATATATAATATATATATGTGTTTTGGGAATGATGAGGGCAACAAATGTATAGATGTGCTTTACACAATTGATCTATGTATTGTGATGAATTATATGAGCCCCAATTTTAAAAAAATATATATATATGTAAGTATAAAGTGAGGCCAAGCAATAAGAAATTATTTATGGACTAATGTCAGTGATGTTTAAGTTTACGTAGTTCCTGGCAACTATGGGTCTGCCCTGTGTCAGTTCCATGTTCTTTATTAAAGAAGGAAGGTTAGGAGCTATGGCCATCTGGGGCCAGCTCTTCCTGGGCATCTCTCCCTGACCACCCATGGGAGGTAGCTGCAGCCACAAGATGCCTGGGCACCTCACACTTTAGGCACCGTGCCTGAGGAGAGATCATTAGCTTCCACAGATAGGCTGCCTTTACAGAGTAACGGCAAGTGTTACAAAGGGTCACCTACTAAGCCACTGATACCTTGGGGGACATGGGGGCGGGGAGGTAGGGGGTCATGTCCCCCTGAGGAGCAGTGACCTGGTGCCTGGTACTCTCCTGGCTGGCACATGGCATGATGCCCTGCAAGGGTGACTGAAGGGCAGTCTACGGACTTCGGGTATCATAGTGCGTCCATGCCAGGACGTCCGTGGTGACAGAGGACCCCCCAGGCTTCAAGATGCATGAGAGACACAGTGCGTGAGAACACAGAACCGGCTGCCCAAGTCTTTTGTGGACCTAGCCCCGCCCTCAGAAGTGCTGCTGTTGCTGTGCCACCAGGCCGATTCTGACTCCCATCACCCAGTGTGGCAGAGCAGAACTGCTCCACAGAGTTTCTTAGCTTCTCATCCCTACAGAGCAGGACATCATGCTTGGTAAAGCACAGCGTCAGCAACAACGGGGAAGGTCCTCCATGAGATGGCCTGACACAGTGGCTGCAAAGTTGGGCTCGATTGCAGCAAGGGCAGTGAAGATGGCGCAGGGCCAGGCAGGGTTTCCTTCTGCTGGGGGGGAGGCCCTATGAGTTGGCACACTGGTCTTTCCAGAGGCAGATGCCCAGTTCTTTCCCCTGAGGAGTTGCTGGGGGGTTCAAGTGGCCTACACTTCAGTTCACAGCCGAGCGCTTCATCACTGTTTCACCAGGGCTCCTTCGCTCAAAGTGAAAGTCTATTAAAAGAAGAAGGGCAACAGGTGGCAGATGGAGGGGTGGCTGGGATGCGAAGGCAGCCCAGAAAGAAAGACCCTTCACCCCACACCACATTTTGTTGGCAGTCCTGGGAGTGGGGACACCCAAGCTGCAGCCTGGGATGGGATGTTCCTGTCCTGTCTCATCGCCCCACTTGGTGGCTGTGGTAGCTGGAGGATTTTATGTCAAGCTGAATTTGTATGAAAGGGTAGGAGTGGGGTGCAACCTGTCAATCAAGCCATAGCCTGATGATGCCACTTTGGGGGCATGGCCTTCTTACAAGGAAGAGACTGGGAATCTCCCTCTCTCACTGCCCTCGACCTTCCTGCTTGCTGGCACTCTGCCTGCCTCCAGGGGTGGCCCCATGTGGATCACCTGGCCCTGAGAGCTGCTGGCACCCTGTCATGTTTCCACCGCCCTCGGATCCACACGAGCCTGTGAGTTTCCTCATCCCTCTTCGCGTTTCTGCATCACGGGCTTGCAGCTTCAGGAGACTGAAGAGGGACTTGTGGGCTGGACCAGACTTATGGACTTGAGCTGGGCTGGGATGGCCTCTTGGTGTGTAACTTTTTCTTGATAGAAAGCTCTTTCTTCTACATACGTGAGGTGCCACTGGATTTCTCTAGCTAACCCAGCCTAACGCAGTGGCCACAGGCCCCCATTCGGTCATTCACCTGAGAAGCAGGGTACCCAGGCCCTCGGCTGGCTCCACTGAATGAAGGGGCTGAGTAAGGAGGGAGAGGAAGATGCTGGACAGAGGGCGCCGACTCGATGTGCTGCTCGGTTTTACAGGCACAGGGAAGTCCGGCTGTTCTGCCTTTCTGCTGCGCCTCGCACAAGCACTTACAAAACCTGGGTAAACACAGCCTCGGGAATCACGGGGGACAGACAGATGAACTCTGCGTGAGCAACGGCCTCTGGGCCCACCTTCCCACATGCTCACTGTTCTGTGGTGACCCACTGAATTTGTCAGAGGTACGTTGCCAGGCCTTTCTGCCTAATCTGTCTTAGTCCATCATGGGCAACTTATGCCTGGGAAAGCATCATGGGAGATGAAGGACTGGAGAACTCAGAGGATCCCAGGGGAGGTGATGCATGGGGAGAGGGGCGGGTGCGTGGCAGCCTCGCAGGGCCTGCTTCAAGCAGAGGAATCATGGATTCAGTGCTGTGAGCTGTGTACTAAAATACAGTAATTTTTTTTTTTTTTAATGAAAACCATGGGGCACAGTTCTGCTTTGACAGACGTGGCGGCACCGGGAGTTACAGTCGACACAGAGGCCCTGGTGCTGTGTTGTCTGAAGCTAAAGCATCAGGCAGCAAATGCAAAGACATGGATGAAGTCACCTGGCCACAGACACATGGGCTCAGGGCTCTGGGAAGCTTGTCAGAAGCTTTCCGACAAGTCAGTGGTAAACGACCTAAGGGGTTTCCTAAGGAGGTGGGCGCTGAACCCCCAGAGGGGTCTCGGAGACGCGGTGCCAGAGAAACCCTTGTCCTCCAGGGAGGAAATGGGCAGACTCTCAGCGTAACCACAGAACACACCTGTGAGAGGGGGAAACACCTCACCGGGCCTTCCCCCACCCTGACCACACTGGGCCGTGACCTGGGACCATCAGCACACAACCAATGGGCCAGCTCACAGGGGTCTGTGAGACGGTTCAGCATGTGAGTGCTGTGGACCCAGGTTGTCAGAACCACGACATCCACGGGGAGGTGGGAAAGAACCACTGACCGTTCTGGAAGCCTCGCGGGGGCCTGCTGTCGACAACCGCCACAGGGGGCTTGTCGCCCACATCCTGCTCACTGGACTCCTCGCTGACAGTCGAGTCGGCATCCGAGGGGGAAATTCTGCAGGCACAACGCAGGTTTCACGTGAGGAAGGGAAGGGGAAAGAAAGTCAGTCTGACTTAGAAGTGGAGGCCAGGTCCAGGCAGCAGAGAGGAAATAGCCCAGAACAAATCCTTTCATGGCCTCTCTCAGGATCCCACTGACCCACCCTACAGCCACTAAGGAAAAGGCTCCACAGGGAGCTAGCAGCAGATGCTGGGCCTGGGCCTTCCCCTGCATGGGTCGTGGTGGGAGCAGCAGTCTGGAGTGCGAGGAGCTGGGCAGAGAGGAAGGGGGCCAAGCCTGGGCTGCAGAATCTTTGAGGGAGAGGCAAGTTGGGTTCTGCAATCACCCCAAGAGCTCCCTCCAAAGTTGCACCCCCAAACCACTTCCAGCCTTGGGGAGAAGCCTCTGCTCACAGGTCTAAGATAGTGACCAACTCCGAGATCGGCTACCTGTCTCAAAAGCGGGGGTTCAGGGGACACAGTGGTGTCTCCCCGACTCAGACTCATGGTGACTGCCTGTGATGGAAGACAACTGCCCACGGGTTTTCTGTGCTGTCATCTATGGAAGCCAACCAGGTCTCTCTCCCTCAGTCACCGGGTAGGTTTGAACCAACAGCCGTTTGGTTAGCAGCTAAGTGCATAACCGTTTGCACTACCAGGGTTTCTTCTCAAAAAAAAAAAAAAAAAGAAAGAAATTCAAACTCACTGCCACTGAGTCAATTCCAACCCCACAGGACAGAGTAGAACTGTCCACTATTTGTTTTGGAGACTATAACTCTCTAACAGGAATAAAAAGCCTCCTCTTTCTCCCAAGGAGCGACTTATGATATCGAACTGTTAACCTCAAGGTAAGCAGCCCAATGCATAACTCACTACACCACAAGGGTTTCATGGGCTTCCTCTAGTTGCATTAAAACCCACTGCCATCAAGTCAAGTCTCACTCAGAGCGACCCTACTAGGGTTTCCAAGCCTCAACTTTCTCCCATGAAGCGGCTGGTGGTTTTGAACCACTGAACCTGGACTAGCAGTCCAACACTTAACCTGAGTGGGGCCCCAGAGCTGCAACAGTTTAGTGCAGGTTCTTAATCAGCCGGCACCTCTTCCCTCAGCACCCCTTCCCTCAGAGCTGCCCCGTGAAGTGCCAAGACTTCTGGTGGCCCTGAGGGATGCCAAAAGATTATATTAACCAGGCAGATCATTGAGTTTCTGTGACTAAGAGAATAAGACAGCCAGCAGAGAGAAAATCACTTTATAAAACTAGGCTAGCTTATTAAATATCCTCGTGTGGTTTCGTTTATTCTTAGCCTGGCAATTAAGAAAGCGCCATCTCTGTGTTGAATTCATTTTCCCTTGTTGAAGATCAGGCACTAACACGTATTAGATCCCTAGAAGTAAGCCAACCCCTGTCGGGGGATGATGGTGATTCAGAGCCCAGGACATGGTTCTGAAGGGAGACGACCAGGCAGAAAGTGGCCAGGCTTCAGTGCTTAGATGCACCGAGGCTGGTGGTGGAGGTGTGGTGTCCATGGTCAAAGCGGACGGTGCTGTGATCCCAAGTCACCAGGATGAAAAAGGCATTCCGAGCTGGGGAGCCCTGCTCCTGGGGTCAGAGGGTGCGCTTGTCAACAAGGCTTCTCAGTATACTTGATTTTCACCCAAGACAAAAACCCACTGTCGCCAATTTCCTTCCAACGGGCAGCAACACCGAGGGACAAAGCAGAACTGCCTCTCAGGGCGTCCAAGGCTGTAGTCTTCACAGGAGCAGGCTGCTTCATCTTTCTCCCAGGGAGTGGCAGGTGGGTTCAAACTGCCGGCCTTTGGGTTAGCAGCTGAGCACTCAACCACGGGACTACACAACTCCTCTGCTCGCGAGTGATGTTTGCAGGGGAGAGCGGGACAGGGAACAGGGAAGGGAACAGCAGGATGTGGCAGAGAGCCCAGCCGGAGTAGGACACACCGCAGAGGTGCTACAGAGCCACGAACCGTCACCCACTGTCGCTGCACCATCAACCAGGCACAAGGCTACTGGGTTATTACCTACAAAGGGCCCGGAGGTGCAGAACAAAGCACAAGAGGTGGTCAAGCCCTGGGGGAACTCAAACCACCTCCGAGAGAGCCAGTCCCTTAAAACATTCTTGGGCGACACAGTCTACCACCTCTCATAGCATGCCATGTTGAAGTAGTGGAGGCATCAGTTCCAACTCATGGCGACCTCATTTGGGCAGAGAACAGCCCCATAGGGCTCTCAAGGTCGAGTCCTTTAGAAGCATATCACCTGGTCTCTCTGAAGACACCTCTGGGTGGGTTAGAGCTGTCCAACTTTTGGGCTAGTAGTTAAGTACAACGTCCAGGAGCTCCTTAGCACCCTCTCTTGTTGTCAATTGCCATCAAGTTGGCACTGGCTCATGGCAACCCTCTGTACAACAGAATGAAACACTGCCTGGTCCTGGGCCAGCCTCACAATTGGTGTTTGCTTTGAGTCCGTTGTGGCAGCCACCATGTCAGTCCATCTCCTTGTGAGTCGTCCTCTTTTTTACTGACCCGCTGCTTTCCCAAGCGTCATCATGTCCTTTTCCGGGGACTGGCCTCTCCTGACAACATGTCCGAAATATGTGAGAAGTAGTCTTGCCACCCCCCACTTCTAAAGAGCACTCTGACTGTACTTCTTCCAAGACAGATTTGTTAGTTCTTCTGGCGGCTCCCCACCATCCTCCTCATTCAAAGGCATCTGTCTCTCAGTCTGCATTAATGACTGAATGGGCCACGGTTGGGGATCAGGTGACTCGGTCCCCAAAGTGTCATCTTTGCTCTTTCACACTGTAAAGGCGTCGGTGCGGCACATGCGCCCAATGCAATGCACCTCCGGACTGCTGCTTTCATAGACATTGACCATGGCGCCAAGTCAAGTAACGTCTTTGACTACTTCTCCCACCGGCCATGGGTCCAGTTGGGCAGATTTGTAAGCCACAAATCGGAGATGTACTGAGACGTAAACCACACGGAAGGTCATAATCTTTGGTGTTCACCAGTAAGGGTCTGTCTCAAGTCCACTTCACCTTCGGCAAGCAAGGTTGTGTCATCTGCATACACTGGTTGATAATGAGTTTTCCTCCAATCCTGATGCTGTGTGCTTCATATAGTCTGCTCTCTCACAATTATTTGCTTAGCCTACAAACGAAGTATAGTGAGAAGATACAACCCTGACACACATCTTTCCTGGTGTTAAGCCATACAGCATTCCTCGCTCTGTTCAAATGACTGCCTCTGGTCTATGTGCAGCTTCCACGTGAGCACAATCACACGTTCTAGAATTCTCTTTCTTCCCGGTGTTCGCCATTTGTTTTGATCCACATAACCAAATGTCTTTGCACAGTCAATGAAACACATGTCACCACTTTCTGGTGCGCTCTGCTTCCAGCCAAGATCTACCTGGTGTTAGCAATGCTCAGGAGGCTTGGACTTCTTCCTTTAGCACCATGGCCTCTAGATCATAACCACCTCTGGAAAGGGATGAACATCCACCAATTCTCTTTGGTACAATGACTCGTGTGTTCCTTCTACCTACTTTTGATGTTTCTGCCAATTTTTGCACATAAAACCCTTCGATATTGAAACCTGAGCTTTTCCCTTCAATTCTTAAAGCATGAGCATGCTCGCTTTTGTCTTCTGAGGGTACCCTCTGAAATCTTTTCTTTCACTTGCTTTAGCAACTCTACATTCAAAAACTCTACGTTTCAGAGTTCCTTCTGAGACTTGGTTTGATCTTTTTAGTACCCTTTTGTTTTAAAATAACCTCTGCATCCTTCATGTATGATGACCGTGATGTCATCCAACCCCTCCTCGGATGTGCTGTCGTTCGTGTTCCGTGCGTGACACTGAGCTTCTCCAGCACCTCTGTGCAGAGGGAATGCTTTGATTCCTGTGTAGTCCGTCTGGTGAGGTCCACGTGTCATCACCGTTTCTGCTGTCTACACTATTTCTGGTGAACTAGCCCTGCAGAACTCTCATGTGCTCTCCGCCATCATGTCCAATTCCCATCTACCAATTCATCCGTTTCCAATTGTCTCGTTCCAGCCACAGTGTCAGTGACTCTGGATTACATGTTTGATCCAGTGTACATTTTCAGAGGCAAATGTTGGTTAAAAGCCCTTCAGTTTCTTCATCTTTGGCATTAGTGGTTAGTGTGTAAATCTGAATAATAGTTGTATTAATTGGTCTTCCTCATAGATAACTTTATCATTCAGGATGGATCTGAAACGTTCTTTTTGTTAACAAATGTGAGACCATTCCCTCTTTACCTTCTCATTTCTGGCAAAATAGACCATATGCTTACTTGGTTTAAAATAGCCGATGCCCGTCCATTTCAACTCACTAAAGCCTAGGGTATCAATCTTTATGCTTTCCATTTCATTTCTGACAACTGCCTGTTTTCCTAGATTCATATTTAGTACATTCATGCCCCAGTTATTACTGAATGTTTTCACCTTTCTTCTCATTTTGAGCCATGCCCCATCAGCAAATGAAGAAATGAAGATCCTGAGGAAGAGGAGGCAGCTCTTCCTCAGTCGTATTTTGAGTGCCTTGCAACAAGAGGAGCTCATCTTCCAGAACCATCTGTCAGTTGTTGGGTGATGTTGACTCCGTGTTGCTGTGACGCTGGGAGCTATGCCACCAGCATTGTAAACACCAGCACCGTGGACAGGTTTCTGCCAAGCTTTCAGACTAAGACAGACAAGGGGAGGATGTGGTGATGTACGTCTGGCCAGCAAAAACCTTATGCATAGCAAGGGGACACTATGGTCTGGCATTTTTAAGAAGTGATCAAAGCCATTCTGGGACTCGGGGTGACTTTGGGGAACCATTATCAGGTGCATGGCTGCAGGCTCTGGACCGTTCTGTCTGTCCTTCAGGAGACAGACAGAGGTTCAGCCAGGAGAGAAGCACCCTACCTTCCTCTGTGACGGAGGCTCTTGGCAGGGGCCTTGGCCTGGGGGCTGGGCACATCTCCATTCTCGGAGGGCGGGGTGTGTTCCTTCACAGGTCCCGGCGGGGGCACTGGCTCGTGGATGATCAAGATGTCATCTTTATTGTGCTGGCCCAGGTGCTGCTTGGCAAAATCAAAGCCCTTCACACTGGGAATCTGCAACTAGAACACACACACACAGGGTCAGGCCCGAGTCTCAAGCCAGAGAGGACTAAGGACATGACTATTGGCCCCACTCTGTCCCTGCACCTCACTGCCACCTCACCTGCTGGAATGCACCCATCAAACCTGAGCGGGGGAAAAGAAAGATGCCCCTGAACCACGAAACAAGGGCACTGGCTGCCGTGGAGGGTGTCAGGGTAGAACTGGCCTCCATTGGGCTCGCCATGGCTGGTTGAGGGGAAATGGATTGTCAAGCCTTTTTTTGGAGCCACCTCTGAATGAAGGTGAGCCTCAAGCTCTGGAGTAACAGGCATTTGCACTGGGCATTTGCTCCACCCAGAAATAACCATCCCCAGAACCTCACCAGTAGACCGATGCTCCCCCGTGGGGCTGTCCCCCACACCTGGAGTCCCACGAGGTCATTCCAACTCACAGTGACCCTACAGAGGAAAGCCGAGTGTCCCCCAGGGGGACTTCAAAAGCTGTCACCCCAATGGAAGCTGACTGCCTCATCTACCTCCCACCGAGCAACTGGTGGGTTCAAACCACCCACCTCTCTGCTTGCAGCTGAATACTTTACCCACTGAACCACAAGGGCTCTTTCACCTAGTGTCCAGACCGCCCAAAGGCAAAGAACAGACAGGCCTATGGAACAACGGGTCGGAGCAGAAGGGCTGGGTGGTGCTGGGGCTCATCTGATGCATGGGATGTGTGAGAGCACCAGCAGCCAAGAAGAGTGCTCTCGGAGGAGTCCTGGTGGGGCAGCAGTTAAAACGCTCAGCTGCTAAACGAAAAGTTGGTGGTTCAAGCCCTGGAGCCACCCCAAGGCAGAAAGGGATTGGCAGTGTGTTTCCATAAGGACGGAAGCCTTGGAAACCCACCCTGGGGCAGTCTGGAATGCACCACTTGTCTGCCAGTTGGTGCTACTGTGGTGGCTGTGTGTTGCTGGGCTGCTAGAAACTAACTCACTGGCATTTCGAATGCCAGCAGGGCCACTCAAAGTGAACAGGTTTCTGTGGATCTTCCGGACTAAGCACAGACAACGAACTAAGAAGGGCTCGGCTCCCCACTTGGGAAGAAGCCACTGGAACCCTTACGCATCCCTTGGAAGCATCACCAGATACCGAAAGCCTAAACCAAAGAAGCAGAACATTGCCGGGGATACTGCCGGCTGAGGGGGCCCTCAGGTCTGAGGGCACTTGAAATGTGACTGAAGAGGGGCCGATTTCTCGGAGTGGAGGCGACCACAGTGACGTGGGTCAGTAAAGTCTGTGGGGGTGGAGCCTTCAGGGTCTTCATTTACTGACGGGGTACAACTCCAGGTAAAGAGAAACAGCTGCAAAGATCTTCTAACGATCAGAACTGAGACTGTGTGAAGTATGAATTTAGGAAAATTGGAAGTGGTCAAAAGTGAACTGGAACACATGAAGATCGATGTCCACGGCACTGGTGAGCTGAAATAGACCGGCATTGGCCATTTCAAATCAGAAAACCATATGAATTACTATACCGGGAATAACACAATCAAAAGGAATATCATGGCATTCATTGTCAGAAAGGATCTTGCTAAATCGATCATGAAGTACAATGTGATCGGATTATATCTATCCACCTACTGAAGGAATTCCAATCAGTACGACTATTATTCAAATGTATGTACCAACCACAAAAGCTAGTGATGAAGAAATTGAAGAAGTCTACCAATGACCTCAGTCACAAATTGATCAAACAGGCAATCAAAATGTATTGATAGTTATTGGTGATTGGAATGCAAAAGTTGGAAGCAAAAAGGAACAGTCGATGGAATATAGGGATTTGGTGATAGACATGAAGCTGGAAATCGCATGATAGACTTGCAAAACCAATGACTTCGTAGAAAATACCTTTGTAAACAACACAAAAGGCGAACATGGAACACACAGATGGACACACAGAAATCAAAGGGACTACAATGAGATGGATATCCACTGGGTCTGCATCGTGGGCTCATGCAGAGCAGACGTGAGGACGGCACAGGGCCGGGCAGTGTTTCGTGCTGCTGTGCATGGGTGGGAGCCAACTGGAAGGCCCCTAACTACTACAACATGAGCTGCAACAGATGTGACAACAGTGAGCTTGGTTTTGGTGGGGAGGTAAAACCACCTTCACTTGCTCCCTGCCATCGAGTCAATGCAGACTTATAATGACCCTGTAAGATACAGTAAAACCACTGCTGTGGGTTTCTGAGACTAAACGTTTATGGAAGCAGAAAGCCTGTCTACCACCTCAACACTAAAAATTTAGGATGCACACAAACCCGACTTCTGCCAGCAGAGGGCGGCAAAACTCACTACAAACAGCGCATGACACACGTTGCTTGGAAACCAGAGGCAGAGACAGACG